TTGCAAAATAAAAAATAAAAAATGCTGGGTATACAGCTCAGTGTGAAGACCCCGGTTCAATCCCCAGTACCACAAACAACAAACCTTCCTGGAAGTCACATATACCACTTCACCTTACATCTGTACACCTATTTGGTCAGAACTTATTACATGGCTACCCCAATTGCAATGAACTATGGGTAATACATTCTTTATTCAAAAGCAGCCAAAGTCAGGGTTAAAGAAGAAAGAATAGATATTGGGGGTCCAGGGTTAAACCAGCAGGGCATGCCCAGGATCAATGACAATGGCCCAGGTAGGGCAGAGGAATCTCCCCTTTTCAGGGGAAAGACTCAACAAGGGTCCCAATCACTGAAACACTGGTGAAAGAGTGCCTCAGAGCCTTGAAGCATCGAAGACACTGCTTGAAAATGGGTAAATCTGTGGCACAGGAAGCAGCTCAGACACCACAGATCCATGTATCAAGGAACTGGCAAGTGAAATAGAAGACAACTCACAGAACACGTAAATCTAGCAGAATATTTCCCACTGCAATTTGATTGATAGTTATTGATAACATCCCAATTCTTTCAGCATGTGTGATTTGAAGATTATGGTGATTTGAAAGGAGAGATTTACTTTTAGCTTCACTGCCAATGAAACTCCCAGCTCTGAACCATATAAAACTATGCAGCATTACATTGCCAAATAGATGTGGTTGAAGGTTAGGTTTTGTGTTCTAATGGCACAGCTACAATGAAAGGAAAATTCTTGAGCAGTTTCCTCAATAATAAGACTGTAAGTCAGTCACTTCTTTCTTCTTGAAGGAAATGTTACAGCCTTGCTGTTACAGAAGTGTCAGCTGATGCAAACTGCATACTCAAAGATAAAGTAGGATCATGACTTCCATAGAAACTAATGCCTTAATCTTTTTCTCTTTTGGTACTAGGGATCAAACTTGAGACCTTGTGCGTGCGAAGCAGGCATCAGAACCACTGAGCTAAATCCCTGGCCCCTTAATCTTGACATGAACTCTTTAGTGATAATATGGAAGCTACCTGAAAACAACTGCTAGTACATTTTTAAATATGATGGTTATCAAGACAAGAAGTTCTATTAAGAAAATTCAGGGCCAGATTTAGCTCAGTGGTTCCACAGCCTGCCTCGCAAGCACAAGGACCCAAGTTCCATCCCCGGTACCAAAAAAAAGATTTTCCTAAATTGTACCAATAAAATAAAATTTTTAAAAAAGAAAAAGAACCTATAAAAAAAAAAAAAAGAAAATTCAACTACCAGGGCCAGGGATTTAGCTCAGTGGTTCCACTGCCTACCTTGCAAACACAAGGTCCCAAGTTTGATCCTCAGTACCCAAAAAAAAAAGAAAAGAAAAGAAAATTCAACTACAGATTGAACTTGTAATGATTCTGTAAGAAAAAAAGTCAGTTTTGTCCCAACTCATTAACAATATTAATTAGACAGCCTGACTTATTTGGCTCATATCTTCAGTATTTTAATAATCTTAACACTTCCATGTACAAATGGAATGCAAAGTTTTTCTTTTTCTTTTTTTTTGCAAAGTGTTTTTCATTGAAGTAGACAAGTTCACAGGACACAAACAAATGTTAGAAAACTAGTCAGAACTTGTGCAGATTATAATTCATTCCATAGTTGAACAAGTATATTATAGTTGCACATCAGTAAAAATATAACCAGATAACATAAATTGATAGAACAGCTTGCCTTTAGTTTCCATCCAAAAAAGATCCATGTATAGAAAGTCAGTGGATCCTAAATCCATCCACCCCTTCCTCTGATCTGCTGGTGCCCCTCATTAGCCAAACCCAACCTGAAACACAAGATTCAAACACTCATGATAAAACAAGAGTGAAGGGAGGGAAGGAGCCACATGGAGTCCCCATACTGTGTTGAGGCTTTTGTGCTACTTTAAGTGGGTATGGGGTAGCATAAGTACATGCTGATGAGAAGGGCCCAGGACAGAAGTTGGTGCTACAGAAAGATGAGACAAAGTCTCCAATTAGAGGGAAGTAACAAAATGTTGTGACAAGAGGATTGGCGATCAATCAATGTGAAGACATGCCCCTTCACAGCTCTGTACTGGAGATTGAACACAGGGCCTTCACACTGAGCTACATCTGCTCCCTGTTTTGGGTTTTTTTGTGGGTTTTTTTTTTTTTTTCGGTACCAGGGATCAATCCCTTTTTTGTTTTGATACAAGGTCTTGCTAATTTGCTAATTTGCCCAGGGTGGGCTTGAGCTCACAATCTTGCCTCGGCCTCCCAGGATGCTGGAATTACAGGCATGAAACCACCATGCCTGGTTGATGGATCATCTCTTATAACATGAGGAAATATAAAAAAGATGCTTCCAAAGAAATGCAGGGAAAAATAAAGGCAGATAGCAAGCTTGGCGATGAGTTTGCATGGTATTTTTATTACTTCCATGTCTCAGTGAAATGAGATCCAAAGCAGGGAGAGGGAGGAGAGGGAGGAGAGGGAGGAGAGGGAAGAGAGGGAGAGAGAGAGACAGAGACATAGAGACAGACAGAGAGAGACAGACACAGACAGAGAGAGACAGAGACAGACAGAGACAGAGAGAGGAGACAGAGAAAGAGACAAAGAGAGACAGAGACAGAGAGAGAGACAGACAGAGACAGAGAGACAGAGACAGAGAGACAGAGAGAGGAGAGAGAGAGAGAGAGAGTCAGTCCAGGCAATATATCAAGGAACCATCTCCAGGGTGTGAGAAGACACCACTGAGGAAATCTACAGAAGTGCAGCACTTAAAAACCCATCCAAGGTTGTAGTCTTTTAGAGAGGGTGGCCAGGTGATTTGGGTACCAGGACAGACTGACTTTTTCTGGAGAAACAAGGGAGGGGAGGCAGAAGGGGAGAGATGAAGCAGGGTGTGACTGCCTTGACTGTCTAACAAATGAGATATGGGTTTGGAACTGTGATCCCAAACAACTGCTGGCCTCAGGCACTCAAGAGAGCAAGCCCAGAGATGAGGTCAGAGAGGGTGCTTGACATGAAAATGGGGGGGGGGG